TCTTTAATTAATTTTTCTATGCTATAAAATAGGAATCCACTTAATAAAATGAATAGACAATTGTTCTAATAATTATCTTAATACTATTTACTGAACAATGTATCCTTTCTTTCCACACTAATTTGAAATGCCAATATTTTGATATACTACATCAATTCTATTGATTTTTTTTTGACTTCCTAGTCTGTGCTAACAAATTATTTATTTATTCCAGTAACAAGATCACACTGTTTTAATTACTTTAGTTTTATACAGTGTTTTGTTTATTTATTTATATGTTTTTGAGACGGAGTCTCGCTCTGTCACCCAGGCTGGAGTGCAGTGGCCGGATCTCAGCTCACTGCAAGCTCCGCCTCCCGGGTTTACGCCATTCTCCTGCCTCAGCCTCCCGAGTAGCTGGGACTACAGGCACCCACCTCACGCCCGGCTAGATTTTTTTTGTATTTTTTTAGTAGAGACGGGGTTTCACCAGGTTAGCCAGGATGGTCTCGATCTCCTGAGCTCGTGATCCGCCCGTCTCGGCCTCCCAAAGTGCTGGGATTACAGGCTTGAGCCACCGCGCCCGGCCAGTGTTTTGTTTTATTATTTGGGAAAAATAAGTACTCAAACCCTGAAACTATTTTTCTTTGTCAGAAATGTCTAGACTAGAGTAGAGTGCGGGGTGTATGATAAAAAATTGCTTAATAAGTATAATGTACATTATATGAGTGATGGCTATCCTAAAAGCCCTGACTGCACCACTATACAATCTATGCATGTTACAAAATTACACCTGTGCCCTATAAATTTATACAAAAAGAAATTCTAGGCTAATAATCCAGACATATTACTAAGACAAAAAGCCAGAGGGAAAATGTGTGTGTGTGTGTGTCTGTGTGTGTGTGAGAGAGAGAGAGAGAGAGAGAGAGATTTAAATATTTGAAAAAACATAAGTAATATTTGGAGGACACATAAAAAACTGCAATAGTTACCTGTAGGGAGTGGGATCATTGGGAATACTACTGATGAGTGAAACTTCCTACTTTGGATAATTCCTCACTATGTATTCTCTAAAAAAGAAAAAAATATGCTTTTTAAAATAATTAAAAACAGTATCTGGTTTTCTGTGATAGGAACCCAAGTCTATGTGAGGGCACATCCTGTGTATCACACAGTATTTCTCAACTGTGGCCCCACATTAGAATTACTTGGAAGGTTTTTAAGAAATACGGGCACCCAAGGACCTGCCCCAGAGTTTCTGATTTCAGAGTCTGAGGAGGGCCTGGGACATCAGCATATTTTAGAAGTTCCCCAGACAGTTTGAATGCTCAGCCTCAGCTGAGAACCACTGCTGTAGATGATGTGAGACTTAAAAGGGTCCCCAGAAGGCCACTGTGCTGAGGTATTTTCAGAATATAATTACTTGGGGATGTGATCAAAAGTAATCCATCACTTCTCTGTCAGCCCAAGTCCTGCCTCGAGATTGAGAGCAAACAAGTCCAAGGGGAGATGTGGAAAAGAACTTTGCTCAAATATGTATGAAAATGTCCCTTTCTGTGGAAGGTAACTGTATTAAAAGGTAGACTCACTTAGGCTCCCTCAGCATATAAAGGATTCTTGTAAACTAGTCATGACCGTGAAAGGTGCAGGGATCGCATGGAAAACCAGAAACAGTGAAACAGCTGCACCTCAGAAGCCCAGACTGTGGCTGGTACCGGAGGGTTCTACCAGAGCTCCAGGGATCACTGTTATTTTGAGATCTCTCACAGGAGCCTTTCAAACGTCTTTCATCTGGAGAATTACTCTGTTAAAATGAAATGGCTTTTGGAAACCTGATGTGGAAAATGATTGAGGAGGAGCTATTCCAAGCCATATACCTCCCTCACCTAAAACCCCTCCCCGAAGAAATCTGAGAAGTGGCTGGAAACCCAATATTTGTAGCTGTTTCCTTCCCTCTCTGTTTTCTTTTGTGTGTGTGTCTTCTGGTGCTTCTCCTTATTTGCTGATTCTGCCTCTATATTCCTGACAGGGTATCTGATTGGCCCATCAATTGTCTGCCCTGGTTGAGTGAGATTTTCCACACCAGGTGGAGGGTTAGGGCTTCAACATATGAATTTGTGATAGCACAAACATTCAATCCATAACACCACATTTTTTTTAAAAAGTAGTACAGGTGAAATTAAATTTAATAATATGTTTTATTTAATCCACTTTAGTCACAACACTATTTTAACATGCAATCAGAATAAAACATTATTATTGAAAATGTTAGATGTTTTTCCATCCCAAGCTTTGAAATCGGTGAAATTGGTGTCTATTTTCACGTATGCCACTTATGCCACATGTCCACTTGGACTATCCACATTTCAAAAGCTCAATAGCTACACGTGGTACAGACCCCATCCCAAAGGAAAATGAATTTTATTCCCCTGACCTCCTAGGTTCTTAAGATCTTTTAAAAGCCTAGATTCTTACAGCCAGAAAAAGGCCTTTGGAGATGTTGTGTTCAGAGATCTCTACATATTCTCAACAGGTTTCCCTTTAGCATGTTTACTTTAATTTAAGCAGTTTCACACCTGTTTAAATCTACCCTCCAATTCAATATTCACTGAAGGCTGACCTAATGCTTGGCCTGGACAGGTTAATCATGGTTTATGTTCCATCCACTCTCTCTTCTAAGGGAAACTACCTTAACCACATCCTCCTCCTTCAATCCTCAGGCACCCTATTTCTTCTTCTGCTCCCACCACCTCTTTAGCCCAGCTGACCAGGAATGGACACATGACTCCATCTGTGTCAATATCCTATTCTTGGCTTATAATCAGAGAGCTGTGGCAGTTTATCTTATTCTGGCTCTTTGTCTCTTTGCCTCACAGACTTCAGCCTAGCTCCTTCTCTCTCATAGCAACTTAATCCTCTCCTGGGGTTTCCCAACCTCCCACACCCAGGTGATATTGTTTATGGCTCCATCTCAGCAAGTCCTTACAGAACCTTCCTCTGCCTCTACACCTCTGTTGCTCTTTCCTGACTAGTTTTTCCCCTCCCTTTCTAGAACTGGCACATATCAATGGATTCTTGTTTGCACTCTCACCCATTTTTTACACGTCTTTTTTTTCAGAGAAGTGTCTTCTAGCCAGCAGCTTATCCTTTGAGATAAATGATTCCTCACATGTTATTCTGTTCCCCATGGAATGCAGTCTGCCGATGGCACAATGTCACTTCCAGAAGTGTATCTACTTCAAGTGTTAATAATGATAATAATAGAAATAACTACCATTGTCATTTACTGAGTTTTTATTTCTGGCTAGGATCTGTACTAGGTACATCACAGACATTTCTCACTTAATCTTTACCATAGCCCTACAAAGCACGTGCTATGATACCCCATTACTGATGGAAAAAATTCGGATGGGTGATGTTATATACCTTGCTCACAGATCATAGATCCAAAATTTAAATCCAGATTTGTCTCCAAAGTCCTTGCTCTTACACTACATATATACTGCCTCTCACATATTATATCACTTCCTAAGTTAAGCAAGCAAGTTGGAATTCAGTGCTGCACAGCAAGTGAGCTCTATAAGCAAATTTACTGAAATGACAACAGTACTATGTATTTGTGCACTGCTTTGATGATTTTCCAGTTGGCAGCTGATTTTCACAAAACTCAAAGATGGAAGAATAAACTTTATGAGTTCTATTTCATACCCAAGAAAAACTAAGCTCTGGGGAGATAAGGTGATTTGTCCCAAGTCATCATGTTAAAAAGCCACAAACCAGACGAGAACCCAGTTCTTTTGAAATATTTATTTTCCTTTTTCTTTGCTCATCAGTGTCCTTGGGCGTTGTGCTGCCTACTGGCAGAAGTCAGTGACAAATCTTTCATTATGATTGCCGATTTAACCCTGCTTTATGTGAGGAGTTTGCAGGCATAGACTCACTTGAGTTTCTCAGCTGTCGGTATGTCAGTCTACTTCATCCAACAAGAATTACCTGAGCCTGAGTATGGCCATGCACTGTGCTAACAGTGGGAACGGAAGGGTGAACAAGATGTGACTTTGTCCCGAGGAGACACCTTCTAATGGGAGAGTATTATCCTGCAATGGAAAAATCATTGTCCTAATGGAATATAAAAAGCTGTGAGAAGCACAAAGGAAGAAAGAAACAAGTCTGCCTGGTAGGGTTTCATGGTAGAGGAGATTTCTGAGTGTAGTCTCAATGGATCTACTTCAGAGATGAAAAGCCTGAGTCGCTGAGAGTTCTGCAAAGGGCCTCATAATTTTGAAACTTCATTAGTTTCCTAAAAATATGCTTGTTGCCACATCTCCTTAGAGAGAAGTAGCATAAATTATTTATTGGAATATTTAAAATATTAACATCAATAAATTCCCCGCAGCTTCACAAATACTCTGCTCAGTTGGATAAACTAATCTGAAATAATGCTTTCCAAGTAACTCAAACTCTCCAATTCTACAAAGCCAGTAAGAATTCTTGGAAACAAACAAGAAGCCTAGAATAAGTATCTCCACTCTCTAAACATCAGCCATTTTAGACAGAGGAGTCGTCTATCCCTCTAGCATTTCATGTACTTTTATTCACTTAAAAAGGTATTTTTTTTTTTCTCACAGTGAATACCTAGAATGTTTTTCTCTTCCAAACAAGTGTAAGATTATTGTAGGTGCCACTGAATTTTATCACTTGAATATTAAGAGTGAAGATGTAGATTCTGATATGTTTGGAACTATTTGGAGCTAGAAGGAAAATAACTTTTCAAGCTTAGAAATGGAAACTTGTCAGAACCAAACCCTTGAAGCAGCCCAAGAGAAGACTTCCCTCCATTCTACTGTGGTCCACAGGCCTCTGGTGATTGGGATTTTTGGGTAGCTGACACCAATTAGACCTGGATCCTAGATAATGGAGATCTTAAGTATTTCTGGTAGAGAAGGAAGATCCCATTGTATGACCTCTTCCCTCTTGTGCTTCAGTGGGTTGTTTGGTTTGTCTTCTGGGTGTGACCAGAAAGATTTACACCCTCTACTTGTAACCAAGATGGAATATTTCTTCTAATTCCTGACTCACTGAAGAAGGAGGTGTAGATCTGCAAGGCTGGAGAGCATCTTTCCTTCAAGCAGCCTTTGAAGGACAGAACAAACGGCAGGAGTTCCGGGAACAGCTCAGCAGCACTGAGGATTGCTGGTGAATATTATTATTTTGTTGAGACTCTAAAAATGAATTGTTTCACAGAGGCGTTCAAAAATGTAATGGGCTACCTGGGGAGGGAGTGAGCTCCTTATCACTGGTAGTATTTAAGTATTGGCTGACTAAGCATATACTGAAAAGTCATGCATAAGGTAAGAGTGAACTAAAGGCCCTAAGATCCATTCCAACTTCCAGATTTCATTATTTGCAGATCCCTGGTTTACCCTGTGCATGCGTCTATGCTTGTACTTAGTATGTTGTTCTGTAACGGTATGTTCATATATGTGTCTCCTCCTCAAGTTTGAAAACTACTTGAAGAAAGATACAGTATTTGTTGTTTTTCTATTCCATGTGTTTAGTGCAGTGACTAGTACCTAGGAGACACCAAGTTAGTATTTATCAAATGAATGAATGAATTCATTTTTGTATGTCAGTATATATACATTTATATATATCCTGATTTGTAGTGTAAGTTACCAGCAAGTACACTTGTTTGCTGTGATAGTGTTCATATGCAATAGAAGCAGGGGTTGCTTAAATATCTGAATGATGGAATATGCTACCTGATTCCCCAGACATGGCACTTCTAGTTAATTAATTCCTTCTCTACAGATAGGGCCATATAGAGGCAGTTAAGGCATAGTCAATGTACGACTAGGGTTTTTCTGAATTTGTATTTCTAGATCAAGTCTCCAGTGCCAGAAATGGCCCTAGAACTGGTGGTTAGAAGTCCCAGTGTGACTTGGCTGCATTAGATGGCAGGTGTCTCCTATGGATAACCAATAATATGGATTCATCCCAAGCTTGGGGAAGGAGACAGGAGTGTGAATGGCAGGGACTCCAGTGGCATGCTGGGTGGAAGGGCAGGTATGTAAGCTAAAGTGTGAGAAGAGGTGGGGGAATCTAGGCAAGTTAGACCAGATGAGGAGGCCAGAATGGGGCCAGGAAGCAGAGGCAGATAGGGTGTGGTTTTGAGATGGAGAAATTTCCAGAGAAGCTGGAACCTTCCAGAGAACCTCACCCATTGGGGTGAGGTTGCAAACAGAATACTTTTCACGAAGACATGTTAAGCTGAAATACACTTGTGACAAACAGCACTCTTCATTCACATATTCATTCATTCAGCAAATCTATATTAAGTGCCTACCTTATGAGGACACTGTGCAAATGTTAGGATCAAATAAAAATAAGGTAGGATCTTTGCTCTCAAGTGCATAACTATGAGCTAAACTATATATATATATTAACAGAAAATTGCAATGCAGTGTGAAAAATGCTATAATGAGGTAAGCACAGAGAGCCTGTGGGAGCCTCTGAGGAACACATAAACAAGTCTAAGATGAGATGTGAAAGATAAGTTGGAGTTAGCAAGGTGAAGAGGGTGGGCAGAAAGAACAGTCTTGCTAGAGCTCTAGGAATGGCTGAATATACAAAAGACTGAAGAAGGGAGCTTATTCAGGGAGTGCAAATGCCTTGTAATAGTTGGGCATTATATAACATGTTAAATAGTTCAGACTTTCTCCTGGGAACAATGAATTACTCGAGTATTTTAATCCAGAAGTGACATGATCAGATGTGTGCTTTAAAAATACTACTACAACTAAATTGTGGAGCATGGGTTGGAGAAAATGAAGACCAGGGACTCACTGAAGTTGTTACAGTGCTCAGTGAGAGATGATGGCAGTTCAACAAAGGCTGAGGCAATGAAAACAGAAGGAGATGGATTAGTGAGACATTTGAAAGAAAGGACAAAGCATGGTGATCAGTTGGATATGAGATGTAACAAGTCAAGGATGGCCAAGTTTCTGGCTTGGGCAGCTGGGTAGATGACTCTGGAGGCAGACCCATAAAAGAGGAGGCTGTGTCAGTTTCAGGAGAGTTCTGGTCTATGGGTTTTAACAGGAGAGTTAAACCTTCTTAAATCCAAAGGTCCATTCTGCTGGTCTGTCTCACACCACTCTATCAGTGTAGACAAATCTCCTTTGAGAGCTTTATGAGATCTAACATCTGGGTAGAGTTCTCACCCACACTGAGCATTTATTCATCCATTCAATCAACCAATATTTATGAAGTGCCAATTATACATTCATAGTATTCCAGTATTCTATAGACCCCAATGTCCATCTACGCAGGTAGTTTAGTTCTAAAAAAGTGATTCTTAAAGACGGAATTACAGCTGTAAGTTTTTGATAGTCTTTCCCACTCACCCACCCCAACTTATCAGGCATATTAGTATTTGTGCTGTCATTGGCTGCTTCAGCGGAAAGTATTTCTTCACTTCCTGTTTCCATGGTTGCATTATGCTTTTTCATTAAATTCTCAAGGATACATTACATTTTAGTTTCTTCTTCATGGACTTTGTCTATGGCAGGGTTTTGAATTGGATGGAGCTTAAATACCCAATAGAAATTCTTCAGTGAGTTATTTTATATGGCCTGAGGCCTGAAAACTCCTTTCTAGGCTCCAGAGTCTCCTGAGCAACTCTGGGGCCTCCTGTGGCTCAAGGGAGGTGATGGAATTTCAATAACAGGTGTGATGGATCAAAGCCTTCCCCAAAATACTTGTGTTTGATGCCATTTTACACTTAGTGCTTGGTTTTCCCAAGCTGAAGTGTGAAATTTAAGCATCAGAGAAACCAGCAGGGGTTGAAGGTTGAAGTTAATAAAACACTCGCCATGAGCCTATGTAGTTCAGATTAATAAAATAAAATCATGGATGTGAGAGCCTAACCTCACACATCCATATCATCTTGCAAATCTGTTTCCTGGAATCCAGAGGGTACCTAAGCCACTGGGCCAAGAGGGATGGGGAATCTACTTTGAAAACCACTCTTCGGTTAATCACTAAAGCCTATTTTTGTCAAACAAAGCTCTTGGAATCTCTATTTCACTTCCCAAAGATACTGCAAAGATTAATGAAGTGATTTTGAATTACCTGTTGTAAATAAGTGTTGCTTTTTAAGGATGTAGTATTATTGTTAATATTATTTCATAATCAGCAAAGATATAAAATGTTGGATATTTAGTTCAGTTGATTAAATGATGATACCAGTGTGATTATGGCCCAAGATTGGATTTCTACTCCAGACATGTTTTTAGTTTTGCACAGAGAACGTGTCTTGTTCAATGGCAGACTATTTCTAGCCTCAATCAGCCACCTCTTGTGTGTTGATGTCTCAGTTGGCTAATGGATAAATAATGCAGCTTCCTCAATCCACTGACATGGGTGGATAGGTAGCCTTTGTATACAAAAGCATACTATTATAGGTTGCAAGTCTGGAAAGCCTGAACAGGTCTTTGCAGGAGAACAATAGCCCAGAGAAAGTAACTGGTTTGCCCAGAGTCATCCAGTTAGTGCAGAGTCAGGGCTAAAATCTGGATTTATTGATAAGTCCAACATTCTCACCATTGCACTGTGCCATATTCACTCTGGTCTAGAATTCCCTTCTAAAATTTTTGGGTACTTGGATTCAACAAAAATCGCTAGAGAAGTAGTACCCAAAAAAGTACACTATATTCTTTGGTACTTCCTAGTATTTTATTAGATATTGTTATTTGTTTGGTGCATCTCCCATGAGTATCATATTTCTCTAGGCAGATAGCCAAAAAACAACAAGTCAATCTACCATGTCTGCAGTCTGGCAGGCAGCACAGGAACCCGCAGGGCAACACTCAACAGCATTCTAGAGACCAAATCAAGCCAGCTGGGCTGACTACAGCAAATGATGATTGGTGCCTATCCTAGTTAGGCTGACAGGACTTCTGCTATGTGGATGTCCCACTTGCTGCATTCACAGATGTGGTAAATCAGTCATGTTCAATTATTCAACCACTTTCATTTGAGAACCTGCCACATGCAGAGCATTATCAAGATCTCTTTGTCATATGGGCAAGAGTTTGGCCCTGAGTTGTAATCAGACCAGGTACAGTTTGCATATAGAGGGATTCGTCAGGCTGGCCTTCTCAGAGGTGGCCAATGGAGTGGGAATGATCTTTTTACGAAAGCCAAGAGCCCCTGTGACTGTGCTTTTCTATCATAGTTTTCAAGAGGAAAAGGAAAATTGGTCTCCACGGTCCCTCTTGGCTCTGAAGTGTTCTTTTAAAATAATATTTATTGCATACCATTTTGAGATTACAAAAGCGATACATGTTCATTGTTGAAAATGTGGAAAATTACAAAGAAGATAAAAAGTAGTCATAATTCTAATACAATGAAAACTGCTTCTAACTTATTATTTCAATTTTTTTCAGTCTGTTTTTTAGGCAAATAGAAGAGTATATACCTTTGAAATAAAATTGAGATCCCCCTATATCCTGCCCTGGAATTCTAGGAGTCTATAAAGTATGCAGAACTAAATAGTAAATTTCTTGCTCAAAGTCTGGCATATAATAGTCATTCCACAAACATTTGTTAACTGAATGGTGAGGAAAACCTGGTTTGTGGGCTTGAGCAACTTCACACTCAGGCCATGTCCAAATCTAGACAACAAGCTTTGTGTGCCAAAGAAATGAAACGAGCTAGAAACTGACTGCTTTCCTTCAAGAAAGCTTCCCTTCCCCAAGAGAACAAAAATGGTAATTCACATCCCTTTCTTATATTTATTATTTATTTCAGGAGATTGCTTCCATTTGATCTGAAAGCTACACATGCAAGGGACTTGCTGGAAGCATGGACCTCAGTGAAAAATGGACTTTGGAGGAAGGAGCCTGGTTATCCCATGCTGGAATTCATCATTTTGCCAACACCAGAGGGGGTATGACCATTTTTGATGTCCCTGATAGCATGGTACTCTTCAGCATCTGCACCTCATTATGTCAGTCCATTGTACTCAGTGTGTGCCCATGCTGTTTGTCTTTTCAAGAGCAGCTGAGTGGAGAGGAGAGGGAATGGACTTTGAAGTCAGACAGACCTGGGTTCAGATCCCGAATTCACTATTTATAAGTTTTATGGCCTTGAGAAAATCTGTCATTCCCTGGGCTCTAACATGGAATGCTAGAGTAAAAACGCCCACTTTGCAGTGTTATGAGGACCATCAGCCATCATTTAATGAGCTCTTGCCCTGGCCAGGTGGGAAGCTGGTCAGACATCTTTGAGCACCTAACACGTGTCAGGCACTCTGTTCCTGTTTTGCTCATCTCTCGTCTCAGCAGCCAGCAAACATTCAAATTGAGGATAAAGCAACCAGTCTAAACGGAGTAGGTCAGCTCTTTCCCTTCTTTATGATGATCCAATTAATGTGACTCAGCATTAAATGATAGAGATATTGTTACTTTCCTGGAGCAGATAATACAAATGTAAGAACCATACCCTGACACAGAGCTGTAGTCCTCTGTCAGGTCTAAGAGTCTACTCCCTTCTCCATCCCTCGAATCTCATAGAGACCTACTTTGATGGTAGGAGCCATTCTATAGATGGGCGATGAAAGGTTGCTGAGGTTAATGCACTCACAGATGTTTTCACAAGGATATGTCTCCCATTTGTTTGTTGTTTATTCATTTATTCAACAAATATTATTGAGTATCTATTTTGTGCCAAGCACTGGTAATACAAGAGTGAGAGCAAGACAGACATAGAGAACAGCAGACTATACTTTCTGATGTGCCCACCTCTAAAACAGGGTAACTTATATGGCAACAAACATGTGCAGACCTTCTGCACTACATTAGGGTATGTCTTCCAACCAAGACTGCTGCACACAATGAGATAGTCTCCAAAGGGAAGATGGGAAGCTTTGAGAGAGGAAATTTGGATGCATTCCACCCAAAAACCAACTGTCATTTGTTCCTGTCATACTGTTGCTCTAGCCACTTTTTAGAAGTTCTTAAGCCAGCATCTCTTCACACTCTATGGAAAAAAAAATGAACCACCCTAGTTCAACACATAGCCCTTCCAGATCTGACCTCTGAATGCCTCTCTAGATTCATCCCCTACTGCCTATCACTAATAGCAACCCCCTCCCTTCTCACTGTGTCAGCCTCTTCCTGGATCCCTGAATACATCCTTCCCTCGCACACCTGTGAACTTTTGCAAAGACTGCTATTATCATCTCTCTTCCACTTGGCCAGTTCCTACTCATCTTTGAAGCTTCTGCTTAAGTCGTCTGTTCTGGGATCTCTTCCTGCCACCACCTCTTACCAACCCCCATCCTAGTGTGAAGGAGAATCTCTCCTCCCTCCTCAGTGCTGCCATAGCCCCTGCAGATTCTCATGTCACAGCATGTATCATCACACTGTATTGTGCTTGTCTGCATCCTGAACAGCCTGTGTGCTTCTTGAGACAGATGCCTTGTTTTATTCATCTTTGCACCCCTTTTACTGTAGCATGGCAAATTCATGGTGTATATTTGATGGCTGGCTGGCTGGGTAGCTGGATGGATGAATGAATGAATGACAGTTGGGGCCACATCCTCTGAATATCTCTGCCTTCACTGAAAGCCTTTTCTGGCTGTGGGAACCTATCTGATTATACAACTGCTTCTGGCACCACCACATCACTTCACCTTGCTTTCAGCACACCTATAGCATTTGATTCAATGGCCCTAGGCTTGTTACCAAAGCCTAAAGGTAGAGGAGAGAAAGGAAGTGTGGTTTTCCCACTGGTGCTTGGTGCTTTTGTAACCTAGCCTATAGAATCATCTATCAGAGAATTTTAGAACTGAATGAAGCCTTAGCGATCATTGTAAAAAAGGGGTGGCTAAAAACTGCACACTGTGAGCATCTCCAAGCTCTGCCTTATCCCTCTATGTGTTTACCATGTCATCTATCTGCAATCTTTGGGGCAAGGCTGGAAAATAGGAAGGGAAACCAGATCTGTATCTAGGTTTGCCTAAAGGGGAGGCACTGCTCTTGGGTAAGTGTTGCGCTTCTGGGGCTGAAGGAAAAGCTTGGTTCTGGTAGGCAACAGATACCATAATAGCTGGTTCCAGTTCAGATAATCAGTCTATATCCTGCAAAGATGAAGACATCCAAGACAAAGTAGGGCAGTGTTGCAGTAAGTGGGTGAAGCACAGACAAAAGGAATCAATGTGGCTGAAATTTGGAAATCATTGTGGGCAGCTGATATTAGTGTGGTTCTCAGAGGCCTGGGATGAGATCCAAGAAAGGTGCAGGTCCTCAGAGGGCAGAGTCAGGTGCCAAAATGGGAACCGAGTGAGGTCTTGAAGTGAGATGAGGAAACTGACACTCAGAGATGAAGTGTACTGTGCCAGAGCTAAGTCAGAAATGGATGAATTATAGAAAAATATTTTAACCATTTATTAGGCATATAATATTGCCAGATGTTAACTAAGCCTTTTTTGTATAGATATAGACTATCTCAATTAATTCTCACAACAGCTTTATTCTGATTTCATGAATGAAAAAATTGAGCCTGAAGAGGCTGAGAAACTTGTAAACATCATTCTGCTCAAAAATGGCAGAGTTGGAATTTGAACCGATATCAGTCCAATCCTAGCCACCCTGAGCAGGGCTAGAAAATAAACAGTGCTGTTGTAACATGTGCATTCTCATCCAAGCCCACAGCAGGGCTCTCCCCTACAGCCATCTCAGCTCATGCATTGCCCAGGCCTTGACCCACCTACTTCAAAGCACCTTTCCTCAACATTCCGTTTCCCTACCTCACCTCTCCCCACCACTGGCTAGTGCCAGCTATTCCATCTATAAGGCCCAATATGGGCTGGTGGGGCTTGCATTTCTAGTGAGGAACCAGGGAAAGCCCTGGAGTGTCCAAACCTCAGGGTTTTGTTGTTGGCTTCCTGCAGTCCTCAGAGAATTGCATTATCTGCCAGGGAGGCTCTGTCATCCTGTTGAGTCATAGGCCTTTAGGCAGAGCCACACAACATCTGCCCTTGTATTATCCTCGGAACATCTCAGGCTGCAATTGGGTAGGAGAGCTTCCAGGAAGCTGGCTGTGGAGAACCCCGGATGTTTGGGGGTGATAAGGAGTTTCTGAAGGAAAGTCCCTCTTCCACTCCCGCTTCTGACATTCCTAAAAATATTCCTAATGATCTGGGCCAGTGGGTTTTCAAACTCATTTTAAAGGTCTGGAGCACATTTTCTAAAAGAAATCACATGCAGCCCCTGACACACGAAACAAAAGGGAGACAGTGTTTGGCCACCATCGCGTTTCTGACTGTTGCATTACAAGTTGATTGGGCTGTTCAGTCGCCAGCCACATCATGTATGTGGGGATTTGGTACGGAAGGGGAGTTCCTTCTCAGCAAATCCATAAAATATTTCTTCTTCCTCTTATAGATGTGCTCACTCAGCTGTTTGGGAATCCTGCTGTCATCCACGCTTCCCAGGGAACTCAACCTGCTTAAGCTCCTCTTTAGGGGACAGGCAGGAAGTCTGGGAAACACGGCCTGGCAGCGTGGGCCAGGTGCGTCATAGAAATTCAGTGGTACTGTTCCCATTATGGTTATATAAACAGGAAGGAGCAGATTTCCTTTCTGAAGCCACTCAGGGTCAGGGAGAGTTTTAATACTGGTCAAGGAGGAAGGAGGCAACTTTTCCTGACAGCAGTCTGTGTGCCAAGTATTGCCATGTACATGATTTCATTGTATTTAAACCCTTATTGAAATCTTGTGAAGTAGCTGGTCTTATCTTCATTTTGCAGATGAGAAAACTGAGTCTTGCAAAGGCAAACTCAGCTCAGCTCAGGCAGCAAATGGCAGCAGAGCTCACATTCACTCAGGTCTTTGTACTCCACAGCAGCATTCTATCCATTTGACTCCTGTCTGTCAGTTTCTAAGGGCAACATTACTCTGCATCTCCACCTTTCTGAGAAGTTTGATCCTTTTTGTCTGTTTTTCTTGCATACTCTATAGTAAACAGATGCATATAATGGAATCCATTATCCGTGATCTCCTACTGGCACTTGTTTCAATTAGTTTCTTAAAGTCCATCATCTGTTTTAACTCTTGTTTTACAGAGGAGAGCACAGTCTAAGCAGACTAGGACACTTATTAAAGACTAGTGGCAAAAATAGGGCTACAGCCAGGTCTCCTGCTTCTCCTTCCACCACCCACACTATGCTGACTGCTAAGGCAATAGCGTCTTGGGAAAACCACTTTTCTGTGAAAGAAGAGAAGCCTCTGTGTGGTCCAAGAAGACTCTATTTGCAGCTCTGGAAGAAGCAATTCCCCCTCAGGCCTCTGCCTTGGATGCCGGGGTGGAAATATAAGATCATGGTCTCTGCATTTCAGCAGAAACTCACATTTATCCTACAGATGTTGTTTTTTAATAGGTTAGTCATAGATTTCAATTGCAGCAAGTGTTTTTGTCCTTAATCTTAACACTGGGTATTTTGTCTGATTTCACTCAATAGATCTGAGTGTAAGTCGGAAGTGTATGATTTTCCTCTGCAGGGACCTTTTCTTGTATGTATTTTTGGAATCGTTCTTTATTCTGAATCATGTCCAAGTACACCTTCTAGCAGCTTCTTGGCTCAGCCAGGTTTTATTTCCTTTGATATGATATTGAGTGAAGATGCTTTTAAATCTGCATCTCTGGACTATACTTGGTAACAGGAATCTGGTGGGGAAGGCAGTGCAGGAGCGGGACAAATTTAATTTATTTATATATTTCCCAAAACACCTTCTTTTTGTTGGTATCATCTCCTGCATTGATACTTGGAATTTTTAGAGGACATATTTAGCATTTTTACCAAAATGAATCGTTGGCTTCCTGTCAGAGTTAATTTCATTTTATCTCTTGGTTGTAGGCCTTGAGGCAGATCCACACAACATCTGTA